TAATATATTTAGTATTTAATAATTAATTTATTTTAAAATATAAAAAGAAACCATTTAAGAATTAAAAGCACCAATACTTTTAAATGGGCAGAGATCTCATTCAAACCTCCAAGAGTACTGCATGTCTGAAGGAAAAATAGAGAAAATGGAAGAAGAAAACTGGCTCCAAGAGCTTACACTGATTTTATAATATTTTACAAGGGTACTGTATTTAGCAGTCATGATTTTACTGATAGAAAAAAAAGGAAAAAGAATAATCACTGAGTCTTACTTGTTAATGTTGCTTCCTTCTTTCAGCCTGTCTCCTGCAGCACCAGTCTTGGTTGCCCTTTCACTGCCTGCCAAGTCCACCAGGCTCAGCTTGCCCACCTTCTCCCCTGACGTCTGCAGAAGGAATCAGAAAACAGCTACTGTTAGTTCATTTAAATTAGGTTTGATGTATTTTCAAACAAGTCTTGGTGTAGACTCTCTACAGCTGTTCCAACAGCTTTGGAAGTCAGAACTTGAACAATACGCTGTGATAACTCAGTAGCTGCTGCTCCAAAAACAACAGGAGGATTTGAAGTGAAATAAGACACACTTATATCTTCAAGACATCTCAGAAATCTCCAGAGGAGAGAAACACAGGGTACATTAGTCAAATGTTACAGCAAGAATGTATGCAGAGAGAGTACAGGCCAAGGAGTCCCAAAGACAGAAGGTCTGCAAGCTCTGCCTTTGTTTTAACATGTTGAAAACAGCCTCCTAAAAATCTGAGAGGTTTATACCAGGTTTCCGCTCTGTTTTTCAGAAAGAATGAACGTGACAAGAAGCATGTTATAATTTATGAAAAGTATTACAGTTGCAGAAATTGGTTGGAACTAGATGATCTCTAAGGTCCCTTCCAACCCAAACCATTCTGTGATTCTGTGATTCTATAAGTCTCCTGTACCCTAACAGCCTCCTAGAAAGCAATCCAAGCTATGCGAGTGTTTCAATCCTGTAACACAGATTTTGTTACAAATCTTTTTATCGCATTCGACCCAAAATGACGATCTGAAACACTCCATGAATTTCATATGTGAATTTGAAGTTGAAGAGTGAGCACTGTCTTTGAGAACAGTTTGCTTACATCATGCTTTTCTGCAGCATTTATGACTTTAGCATCTCAGTATTGCAGTTGCAAAGTGCTATGTTCCCCTAAATGAACAGGATAATTAGAATCAATACACTTTCAAAAATGTTACTCTAAACCTCTCAAAATACAGTGTGATCATCAGGCTGTACTGAAACGTGTAATTTCCAGGACTGAAAGGACCAGCAGATGGGAAAACAGAGAAATCTGTTCCAGAAACTCACACAGGGGTCACTGGAAGATGCAGAAAAGACAGCCAAGCAGAACTACCACCGTGTATCCAGGCTGCCCATGACCACACAAAAAATACGTATGATAAGGATGCAGTACAGCCACAGGAAAAATGGAATAACAAACTATGGCAAATGAAGGAGTTTAGTGTAGTATGACTGCTTATTTTAAGTGCAAAGGGAAAAAAAAATCCAAATAAAGAACAAGAAAAATTGTTTGGATAAGAAGACTGATGGAGACTGAGAAATGAGGAGGAAAAAAAATCCAAATGCTCACTATGATTTACATTGTATTCAATACTTAGGCACATATATGCCTTAGATTTGCTCCACTGACACTCAAAATTTCTCCAAGGCTTTGAAGCCATTAAAGAATTGCCCAAGCACAGAATCCATCAACAAAGTTTAAAGAGTTCTGGTGTGGGAGATCTATTTCAATTTTAGTTTATCACTATTTTCTGTGAGGGATTATATAATATTAACATAGATGTTATTTCACACCCCCCTCCAAGTAATATTTACATATAAGGAAATCTAAAGAAAAATAGTTTCACATTTAAATGTCTTCTAGATATTCAATATATGTGCATGAAAATATTAATGTCATACAACGCATTATATTTGAAATGAGTAGGTGTTTATATTTATAAAGTTGATCATTTATACATATTTGCACAAAATAACCCTTTGAAGGAGATTACCGGATCTATATTCAGGTGTTCTTCTATTTTCTATCTACATGTGATATCTTTAGTTTCTGCTCCAAGTCTGTACTATATGCTGTTGCTTAAAAAGAAAAGAAGCGTTTCTTGAGTTTAGATTCTAGGATCAGGAGACTCTTCCTTTACTTTCCAGCTGGTCTGCTGCAACTTGGGCCCTGCATTTTTGCTTTCCATTTCAAAAAACACATTTCATTTACAAACCTATTTAAATTGATTTCCCTGCACTGGGGGACAAGTGTACGAGCATTACAAGGACTTCGCTAGCCAAAGCCATAGCTAACCTTGTGCACTGCTGGCACTAGATCAGAGCAGGAGACTGCAGCAAATGACCTCCTGAGGTCCCTTCCAACCAAAATTTCTATGAGTCTATGATATATATTAAAGCAAGAGACATCCAAGCTTACCATTTGGATCTTGTAGCTTGTTTTACTTACCCCTGATTGCACATCGTAGAGTGTGTGGGTGAGGATAATCTTGAAGACTGCATGGGACCGACTGCTCTCCTCATTCATGTTGGTTGCAGCCACTGTTCGAGATTTGTTGCCCTCGGACATCAAAGACTCAATGTCCTAGATACAATTTTCACAGCCATAAGCATATCTGCATTAACATTTAATTATCTACCGAAACAATCTCATTTTGGTAAAACACAGCAATTATTTTCCCCACCGTTTAGTCATAATTATGAGAAGAACATATTGTGATCTTCCCTTTAAAGACCAGAAATTAAACAATGTTGTGGCACGTATATTCATCCATTACCTCTACCTAGATATTAAATTCTCAACAAAAATAATGCAACTGGCTGCACATGAACTCAAAAGCAAAGAAAAAAAGTGAAGAAACAGCAATTCATGTTTGAACACTGGCATTTAGCCTCAGTTGTCAAACACATGTTCTTGAAATCTGTGATACTGACATAAGGCTCAAAGTTTTATAAAATAGAACCACACCAAACAGGTCATTATGTTCCTCCTATATATAAGAGTTTATAAAGTCCTCTGATACATTAAGTTGCGATATTTGAGAAATATGCAGCTCCCCTGCTTCACTGTTTTACAGCAACCCTGTAAAATAGTTCAAACTTTAGAGTTTGGGGCTTAACTCTTATTTAAGCGTCTCTAGCTGGATGATGCTAAAAAAAACCCAAAAAAGACTCCAACAAAAGAACACCACAGACCATTTTGACTCTGTGTATATTACACAAAGCAGCTGGGCAACATGTAAAGGAAAAGCATGCAATGTGTCTTGTCTTAACAGAAACCACCATAAAGAGGCAGATGAATGCGTGGAGAGACCGCAACAGGCAGGGCTGCACCATTTTCGTGTTTTGCTTAAGGTGGCAGAATTCCATCTCATCTTTACTCATTTCTCCCACAGGACTTTGATGCTTCTTAAAAATTAGGGCATTTTGTGAATGCATATACAAACATTTACTATCCAGCAAGCAAGTTTTATGCAATGTTCTCAAGTACTTGCCTTGTAAACTACCAGTGGTTTAGAATTCCAGTGTGCCTGTGTGCTACTGGTAAGTGAAACTACCAGGCAGCAGCATGACAGCCAGAAAGTGACAAAACGTGGTACTAAAAGCCTGTCTCCGCTAAATCCTGGTTCTGTGATTAATCACAGAACACTTTCCCATGGTGACAGCATACACTCATCTGAAGTTTGGGAGGAAAGCTGTTTCATTAAACAGTTGAATTACTTCCAGAATTACTGAATAGCACAGGATGAAGATGAGTTTCTGCTTTTAATTCTGTTCTCCCCAGTGATCACAATACAACAATCCTACAGCTCTCCTGCTCTAAAATCCAGGTGACTGCCATGGCAATCAGGAGTAGCTTAATCATTTTGTCCTGAATAAGGTTAGGATGTCAACACAAGCCTTTCACAAAATTGATCCTTACCTTGTAGCTAGCAACAGCTAGTTTGGATAGGCCATCTACGTAAGGACCATAAACACTGTGTTCTCTAACTTTTAATGACTGACGGCTTCTGGTTGGGAAAAAAAAGTTATTTATAAGCACATGACCAACTTAAGACAACATTTATAGAAAGTCAATTTCTCACCAACAGATCCCAAACATGATGGTCTTACAAATATCATAATAAAGCACAGAACAAGGACTATAATGCAAACAAAAAAGCCATATGTTTACACATAAAATGCTGACATAGACATTTTTGTCACTATAAAAGCTAGCATTGTGGTGAGTTTACTCCAAGCTTTTAGTCTTACTACTTTATTTTGATTTAAAATGAAAGGACGCTGAGATCAGGAAAAAGCAAAAGCCATCCTATGCAAATGCCTTCGATGGGATCCATTAAGGCAAGCTGCTTATGGAAAGGAAGAGTGCACGAAAACGTCTTGTAGTGCTGTTGGCACACACGTTACTTACCCTTTTGGGTCAAGAAGATCTCTGACTTTCTCATTGTATATCTCCATGTAGGATACTTCCACTTTGAAACTCTGCTCTTCATTTTCCTCTTTCTGTGCTCTTTCAAAGAGTCCACTGCAAAGTCTAGGGATTAATCCAGGCTGGTCAGCAGTTCCCATCATGGTGTATGATTTTCCAGATCCTGTGTGATTGAATCTATGATTAGTGTACATGCAACAATGGCCTTGCTGTGCAGAACATGGAAAGGAAACAGAGAAAAAGTAAACCAAAATAATTTTACATTTCAATGAAAGATATTGGTGCAATTTTCTATTTTAATGCAACCAAAACACCATTTAGCTGAAGACTATTTAGTTAAAAGGAAAAGCAAAACAAGAAGTTCAATTCAAACTGACAGAGAAACCTTTTTCAGGTCGGTACAGTCTCACTGTGGGTGACAACCCACTAACACCAACATACGTGCCACAATGAGAAAAATCAGGTGCACAAATATACTCATTTTTGCAGATTCTATTTAAAATTAGGATTAAGATTATTCCAACTATAGATGTAGAAAACATAAGTGACGCACTGAACTCAAGGACGATCGCAATCATTCCAAAGATTATAATCTAAGGTGTGAGAAATAAGGGTAGCCAGCAGCAACAGACAAAATCCTATTTCTCATCCTGTCCACCTCTTACAAAAGAGAAAAACATTTCTTATCTACATTACAAGGCATTTCTCCCGAAACAATGTCACAACAGCCATGAAAAGAGTCTCCAGTCAGAACGTAGCACCTTGTGCGTCAACAATATTTTTTGCTTACGTCCAGAAGGGACTTACCAGTCTGCCCATACGCAAAGATGCAAGCGTTATAGCCTTCAAAGGCATTCTGAAGAATATTCTCTCCAAGGCACTTGAAAACAACATCTTGACCTATGAAATGAAACACACAAGCTAACATTGTAACAAAGTGAAAGATATTTTTGCCTTGATTTGGATTCTTAAATAATTACGCAAAAGCAGTTAGTGTTTTGCTGCTGTTGTTGCCCCCATAGCATCCAGGATCTGCTCCCTCTACAGACCAGCAGCCAGCGGACGTGCCCCAGTTTTCTGCTACCGTAAAAATCAGAAGCTGCGATTATTATGCGTATGCCTGTGTGTGCTTAAAACAACATCCTTTCAATGTTCATACTCAGAAGTTTTATCAGCAGAAAATCTACTATCAACGGCAGAATTTAATCCAGCGGTGAATGCCACCACCTCAAAATATACCCAGTCTGCACCTTTTAACAACTGTCAGTTGATTTTAATCTAGGGCAATTAGTAGAGCACCAGATAATTTTACTGTATAAGATATTAAATAATACTGTGAGGAGATTTTTGCAGAGAAGGAATCACAACTAATGTGGGATATATTATAGTACACGATACACACTGTCAAAATATAAGGTATATCACTTCTTTTGTAATGGAACTAAGTCTGTAGGAACAGGTTTTTCAGCTCCTTTTCCAAGTGGAGGAAGAAACGCTTAATATATTTGGGTATTATCTATTTAAACACAACCTCTATTTTCAGAATTTCTTTTACAAGCAGAAGAACTAAAGTCTGAAAAAGATATGGCAGAACTTTATGGACTGAAAAGTCCTCTCAAATATGTTAATGTTGCTGAAAGCTTTTTCTTTCTCTCATTGATTGTAGTCCATATCTTTACATCCAAGTCCACTCAGAATTCTATGCATGTAAAATTCCCCATAAAAATTATATGGGAATATATATTATTATATAGTAATAGCTGTGCAGAACAGTTTTGGACCAAACACTTCCAATGTACAACAGAGCATAATATGAGTGACACAGTTGCCTCCATTAGTTGAAGAAACCAAAAATTTTCCTTCCTGTGTAATTTATACGGTTGAAAGTGTCACTTTTTTCTCAGTTCCTCACTACATTCCTATTCATTAGTTATTTGCTAGAGAAATTAAAATCTAGAAGCATATCCATCTTTTTTCTTGTGATTTTTTAAAAATAAATGTAAACAAGCTTAACTGATTCCCCATTTTAAAAGATAACAAGTATGAAAGGAACAGATCACAAGACTGCTAAATCCAAATATATTTCATATTTTACCATAACTATTTGCCCAATTGTGTCATAATAATACACAGAAAATTTTTAATTCAATACATGACACATTCTTTCCATCCCATATGAATTCACATACCCCTATCCTAAATTAGGCTTTTTTTAATACTCCATTATTCAGTTCTAATGTGATGCCAGACTCCCATCAGCACTGTGAAACATGAAATAACATCTAGCAATGTTCCTCAAATCCTGAAATGGATTTGATGCTTTTAAAACTGGACTTGGAACGGTATTTTAAATAAAGAGAGAAATATTAATAACCCATGATTGTGATAGATTTCTCAATTTCCTGCTCTGCAAACAGGTAGTGATGCCTATCGCTATGATCATCTTTAGAGAAAAGAAACAGGAATGACTGAAGATTTTCCTTTTTCTTTTGACAACAAGCAGACATATAGAGCCTTCCTCCGTGCCATATGGTCTGTGCCCTTCAGCAAATCCTGGATGTTAATCAGAACATTTGCACTTGGAGACAAGCAGCACAAAGCTACAGTAAATATTACCTGCGTATTTTTCTTTGACAGATTCATCCATAGACCAAAAGCAGTGATCATAAGCAAACACCTGTAGGAAAATAACCAGGAGAACACCATATAAAAATGCCAAATCAAACACGTTATCCAAATATTGACAGCGCTGTGTTATGCTGGCTACCATCACGCTCCTCGGGGCCACTCTGAAGATAATACACATTCCTGCAGAATTACTTGCTTTCTATGAGTTTGAAGCCTAAACAAACACTGCATCATCCTACATGCAAGCCTGTTCCTTGCTTTTATTTCTTCCTGGTTTTTATTTCTTCCTTTCTACTGGGTGAATACTATTCCATGCCCTCCAAAAGCTCTCCATGTGGCAATCCACTGGATGTCAAGGAGCTCTCCTTATCTTCCTTCAAACCCATCCCTGCAATTCATTTTTCACAAGACTTTCTATTTTGCAAACTGACAGATGTCCTTCGGCTGTTTCTGCCCACCATCTCCTGGTGTCTCCTGTCTGCATAAATTAAAAACATGCCTTAGGGCAGGAACCTCTTTC